GCATGAAATGAGCACAGAGAACATGTTCTCTTTTTTTTATTTTTAAAAAAATTGTTTAATGTTTATTTTTGAGAGAGAGAGAGAGAGAGAGAGAGAGAGAGAGACAGAGCTTGAGCAGGGGAGGGGCAGGGAGAGAGGGAGACACAGAAGCCAAAGCAGGCTCCAGGCTCTGAGCTGGCAGCAGAGCCTGATGCGGGGCTCGAACTCACGAACCACAAGATTGTGACCTGAGCTGAAGTCGGATGCTTTACCAGCTGAGCCACCCAGGCGTCCTGAACATGCTCTCTTTATGAATCAGACGGGCTTTATCTGAAACCCATTCCTGTGCTTCTCTAACTATGAGATCTTGGGCAAGTTACTTAACCCTCTCTGTGCCTCAATTTAAAATCCTAATACAATGATTCATTATTAGACAATAAAACAATATAAATAATAATACTTAATGAGAATTTGCATTAATAATAATTTTTAAAAACCCAACCATTTATCAAGTGCTTCCTTGGTGTCAGACATTATGCCAAGTAAGAGGCAGTGTTGCATAGTGGTCAAGGGCATAGACTCTGAATCCTGGTTCTGCCACTGACAAGCTGTGTGACCTTGGGCAACTTGCTTAATGTCTCTGTGCCTCATTTTCCTTATCTGTAAAATGAGGTTAATACCTCAGGGGTTGGCGGTGAGGTTTACGTGAGTATACAAAGCACGTAGACCAGTACTCTAAGCACTATGCCCAGCACAAGAAGCATCACAGAAGTGTTGCCTGTTATTATTTTCTCAGAGACTGGCAAATAACCTTCAATAAACAGGCTACTGTAGAAGGGGTGCCCCTAGCCCTGGAGGGCCAGGCTGCAGACTCCCTGCTGGGAGCTGTCTCAGGGACACCACTCGCCCTCTGGTGGACACGGAAGGAAGAGGCCAAGTGCGAGTATTTGCTCAAAAAAAACGTGCCAGAGGCCTCAGTGGAAGAGAATGAGAAAGAGGGACACACTCTAATGGAGTCTGTTCTGCAGGAAGAATCCACTCAAGCTTCAGGTATTGCGTTAGAGTGAATGCAAGTTTTGCACTATCGTGTTTCTGAGGTTTGAGGATTAAACATTTCTAGTGCAAAACACTGGCCAGATGCTGCCGGGGTTCCCTGTGCCTTCCCCGGACTTCCCATCTAAGAGGGGTTTAATGGCCGAAATGGGCTCTCAAACCTGTGGGCCTGTGAAAGCAGGCGCTGAATCTCCCTGAACACACTTATGTCACATAGCGTTACTTGCACCCACTTTCCAAGGAACCACAGCAAAGACTGAAACCTATCTCTCAGGCCCAAACTCTCCGAGCACCCGTATGTCCCAGCTCCTACTGAGCCCCGTATGAGCTACCTACCCTCAGTGGTAGCTGAGCGGCGGCTGCTACCACTGAACTTCATGCCACGCTCCAAACATCCTTTACTGATGGCCTGTGGCCCGAGGCACCAGGGTCTCGGCAAACCAGACAGACAGAGGCAAAGTTTCTACCCCAGCAGGAGACAGACAACAAACAAAAGTAAAAGACAGCGAGAAGTACTTTGCAGAACATTTAAAAAGGCACATTTAACATAGAGAAATAGCACAGAGGGGTGTGGGCTACTTTTGAGTGTGCAGTCCGGGGTGGCTTTTGGAGAAGGTGACATTTAGGTTGAAGGAAAGGAAGGAGGCAGCCGTATAAAAAAAAAAAATGGGGAGGAAGAGCACTGGAGGCACAGGAACGGAGGGAAATCCCAGGCAGCTAGGAGGAGTGAACGAAGAGAGAAGAGACGAGGGCACAGTCAGAGAGAGAGGGAATGCTCCGCTCGTGGGGCCTTGCAAGTCTGTGTAACTTTAGAGTTTCTTCTGTATGAAATGGGAAGCCAGAGGGTTTCAAGCCAAGGAGGAACACAAGGAATCACCCCTCCTGGCTGCAGGGTGCAGGTGGCGGGGGTGGGACAAGATTAACAGCGGAGACGGAAACGAGGTAGGAGGCTGTGGGATCTATTTTACACCAAGTAAATAGGAGACTCACACACGGACTGGATGGGCGTAGGCATGCACTGAGGGGGAGAGAGGAATTCATTTCCTAGGATGAGAGGATGGGGGAGGAAGAGGGCACGGAAATCCCACGTTCTGTTCGGACACCGCAAGTGTGAGATGCCACGTGGGGACGGGTGCCCAGACTGAACACTGAGGGGAGGAAAGCATGGGGAGCTGGGAGCGCGAGCGCCCCATAAGCCAGAAGCAGCCAGTGGCCGAGTGTGTTGAATCTCAACAAAGACAGAGCTAACCCAGGATTTAGTGACCCTGAGGCCACTGGAAACCTCCAGGAGGAGTCGCAGTGGGTGTGGGACGACGGGGCGGACTTCCTGTCAGCTCTTTCCCTCACTTCTCTAACGTTCTTGCTCCTGGGAAGCCCTGTGTGCAGGCCGGAACCCCGGGAGTCATCGGGAGCTCTCAGCCTCTCTCACCTTACACCCTCACGCCCCCAGCACTCTGCCCGCCAACCCCCCACTTGGTCTCTGCCTCTCCACCTGCCCCAGCCTTGCCCCTGCTTCAGGCCACACCACCTCTCACCTAGACTTATCGGCGCCCCTCACGGCCTGCCTTGTTTCTACCTCCTCTCCCCTGGTCTGCCCCCCAACCTTGCCGGAGAGACACCTCTAACAGGCGCATCTGACCCTGAGTCTCTAGTCCTGATGCCTCCTGGACTCCTGTCCCTCAGGATGACAGTCAGGTGGCACGGTACGAGGATCTCTCGCTTGCCTCCTCTCCACCCTTTCATCTGTCCCCCACTGAGGCCTTGGAGACCTCCTGCCTCCTTTTACATGCTTTCTTGTCTCATCCTGCCCATCCTGCAGCTAAAGTGTCACCTCCTCCGGGAAGCCTTCCATGACCACTCCCCACCCCTCTGGACTCCGGCCGCTTACCTGCTGCACGGGCTCGATGGTCAGCTCCATGTAGCGACTGATGGCTGCCATTGTCCTCAGTGATTTGCAGGGTGGTAATGTGGTGAGAGGCACCCAGTCTGAATTCTTTCAAGTGGAGACGGGGAGGTAAAAAGAATTCTCAGTCAGGAGACTTTTTCTAAAAACAAGATCCCGTTCCTTCAAAAGCCTCTCTAAAATATTATTTCTGTTTTTTCATGGCCCATCTCCCTTTCTGCTTCCTCTAAGCTGTATCTTATCTCCGTCTTTGATGTCACAGTAGGTCAGGGGTTCCCAAACTTTGTTGCACAGTGGAGTCACCTGGGCATCTTAGAAAACAAAACAACTGATGTCTAGCTCTCCCAGCAGACGCTCTGATTAATTGGTATGGGCGTGACCTGGAGAGTTTCAAAGCCCCTCACTCCCCTGCAGATGATTCTAAAGTTTGGGCCAAGTTTGGGAATCACTGCAGTAGGTGCTAAATGCTTTTGTAAAGCAATGGTTCTCAAACATTAGTGTGCATCAGAAGCACCCAGTGCACTTATTAAAACACCCTCAGTCTGGGGCGCCTGGATGGCTCAGTCGGTTGAGTGTCCGACTCCTGATTTCGGCTCAGGTCATGACCTCAGTCTTAGGACTGAGCCCCTTGTCAGGATCTGAGCTGAGCTTGCTTGGGATTCTCTCTTTCCCCCTCTCTCTCCCCTCCCTTGCTCTTTCTCTCTCTCTCTCAAAGTAAATAAAATTAAATTTAAAAAAAATAAATAAAGCACCCTCAGTTTAAGATTGGGTAGGGCTGATGGAGCCCTAGAATTGCATTTCCTGCAAGTTCCCAGCCGATGCTGGTGTGGGGACCTCACGTTGAAAACCATCGCTCGTAAAGAACCGTGGAAGCCATTGCAAAGGCTCTGTGTCATCCCTTCAGGATGCCAAGCCACACAGGGCTCTCTCTCTTTAAATACTTTAGCTCCCTTTGGGGATAGAATTTCGTCAAGTTTCTAGAATGGAATGAAAATAACCTCCCATTAGAGCCTCCACGGGAATGTGGAGCTTTGGTCCAAGCTCTTACATAAACCCCTTTACCTTGGCCGCGCCCACCACTATCTTCTGTTTCGTTAACTCAGTCAGATTACATTGTTAAACCTAGAATATTCGAAGGGATGGACCCAGTTCACTCACTCACCTTCTCTGGAAGAAAAACAAGGACAGTGAGGAGCCTAGGTAACAGGTGAGATTTTTTTCCTCAAGAAATTATCTTAGAAAAGAGGGAGCTGCCTTATGTTCAAGTCCTTACAAGCACTCTTCTATCATGAAGCAATTTCTCAGCTTTTTGGAACCAAGGACTTTTGACAAAGACAAACTGAGAGAGTAAGTTCTGCCTACTTAGGTCACCTGTTAAAATCGGTAAGGAGACAAACACATTTTCTGGTACGATGTATATGGGGGATGTTACTGTAAACAGCACCTTTAAAGATCAGCTTTTTGGCAAGATCAACTGAAAAAAAAAGGGCTGTGTTAGTGATGGTGACGATGTATACGTCAGAGACGCATGTGCAACTAGGAATACGTGTTTTTATGAAATAGGGTAAAATCATATTATTTCTAAATTAACCTATTAATTTATGTAGTATGTGAACTTATATATATGAGGAAGTTACTAACTAGCTTAAGCGGACATTTAACTATCTCATCTACATTGCTCAAAATACATTAAAGTTTATTAAATGATCTCAAAAACCCATTTAAAAATATGTTGTAGTTGGGAAAGTGGAAGATCCTATTTATTCAGGGCATCCTTAGCACTGGGCATAAACAGTAGCGTTTTGGGTTTTTGTTTTGTTTTTTTTCATAAAAAATAGTAGTAGTTTTTTAAAGTGACCAACTGCCCTAGCTCGAGAAACGCCCAGCATCCTGCGCACAGACCCCGGTGGGCCCAGCAGTTTTCCAACCGGCGAGACCTTGCCTCCTGGCTTTCTTCCTCTTTGTCTGTGCAGGTCAAAAGGGCCTGGGTGTCGGGGCTCTCTCTGGCTTCAGGGGCAAACCCCAAGGCCCGTCTCATCTTGCTCTTCATCACCCAGGAAAGGAAAATGATCTGAGAGGTAGAGTTAAGGTGCAACAAAGCACAGCATTTCAGCCACCCAGGGCTACCTTCGCCTCTGCACCCCGAGGGCTCTCTCTCCCCAGATGATCCTGCCTGGGTGGGCCCCAAAACAGACATGAGCTCATTTAAGAACAGAGCCAGGTCTGACTCTCTCCACATTTCCCCCACGAGGACTCAGCAGCCAGCAACACCTTGCCCCCCAACAAGCACTCAGTAAATACTTGTTAATCAAAAGCATTTTGAAAAACACCTTCCTTGAAGGGCTTGGCTTGTCTCTTGAAGGGACAGTACATGGAGTGGGTTGAATAGTGTTCCTCCCCTGCCCAAATTCATATCCATCTGGAAACTCCAAAAGTGACTTCATTTAAAAATAGCGTCCGGGGGAGGGGCGCCTGGGTGGCTCAGTCAGTTAAGCGTCCGACTCTTGGTTTCAGCTAAGGTCACGGTCTCAGTTTTGTGAGTTCTGGCAGCACAGAGCCTGCTTGGGATCCTCTCTCTCTCCCTCTCTCTGCCCCTCCCCCACTCATTCTGTCTCTGTCTCTCTCAAAATAAATAAATAAACTTAAAAAAAAAATAGGGTCTTGGGGCAACTGGCTGGCTCAGAAAAGCATGCAACTCTCAGGATTGTGAGTTTGGGCCCCACGCTGGGTGTAGAGATTACTTAAAAATAAAATCTTTTAAAGGGCACCCCGGTGGCTCAGTCAGTTGAGCGTCCGACTTCAGCTCAGGTCATGATCTCACAGCTCATGAGTTCAAGCCCCACTTTGGGCCGTCAGCGCAGAGCCTGCTTCAGGTCCTCTGTCCCCATCTCTCTGCCACTTGCTCTCACTTGGCCTCAAAAATAAACATTTAAAAGAAAATAGGCATCTCCCCCTTAAAATAAAATATTTTAAAAAAAGGGGGGGGTGTTTGCCGATATAATTAAGATGAGGTCACAGTGGATTAGGGTGGACCCACAGAGCTATGTGAAGGGAAGAAGAACATGTGATGACTGAGGTAAAAAATGAAATTACACTGCCCCAAGCCCAGGAGCACCAGGAGCCATCAGACGCTGGAACAAACAAGGGAAGATTCTCTCCCAGGGCCTCCGGGAGAGTGTGGCCCTGCCTGGACTTCGGCCTTGTAGCCTCTGGAACCGTGAGAACACATTTCTGTTGTGACAAGCCACCAACGTTGGGTAACTTAATAGGGCAGCCCCAGAAAACTAGTACAGCACAGGAGAAAATCACAGTTTCTAACGATTTCTAAACTATTTATGATAAAGCCACAGGTGCTTCATACACAAATTACCAGCTGTCCACCTCTCTATCTGCCCAATGTCAGAGCTTAGCTTGCCCTTGAGGTTCTCACGTCAAGGTCACTGGGGTGTCATCACATCAGGCGACAACCCCTGGGGAACCAGAAAACAGTCATTGACAAAGGGCAGCCCTTGTCAGCTTTGATCTCTGCTTCCCCAACCCAAGGTTCCAGTGCCAAAGACAACAGAACGGGATGATCACCCCTGCGTGGCAGGTCAGCTTGCAAAGCCCCTTCCTAGCCTTGTGAGAAAGACAGGGCAAAGATGAGGAAAACGGGTTCACAGGAGGGTTGGGACTGGCCCATGTGAGGAGCAGCACTGAGACTGGAACCTGGGTCTGCTCCTGGGGCCTGCACACCCCCGCTTGCGGCTTCTCAGAGCTCCAGCCAAGAGATAATTGCTCCATATAGTATATATATAAAGGGAACAAAATACAAAATTGCAAATGATTGCCATTGCATCTGTCTGCCCCAGGCTTCAAACCTCCTCCCTGGCCCCCCTGGGAGAGAGTGCCATCTAGCCATAAGGAAGGAGGGCACCGCAGGGATAGAGGGAGATGAGACACCAGCAGCCGAGCCCCCTAGGCCCAGCGTGGATACAGAGAGGTCCAGTGCAGCACGGCCGAGGGAGGTCAGGAACCAGGGTGTGGCCCGAAGCAGGTACTCAGGCCGCCGGTCATGGGCCACAATGGCCGAGGCATAGAGGAGGCCCGCCAGGGCCGACAGGAGCCGGGTCCACAGGTGGATGGAGGGAAATGCCTTACCCTGGCACTGGACAGAGAGAGGAGGGAGCTGTGCAGGAACACTGCTGTCCTCCAGCCGCCTCGGAGCAGGATTCTAAGATCTAGGCCTTTGGTCCTGCCCTTGGCAGGTTGGAGCGCAAGCCTTCTGCCCATGGCCAGTCCCCAAAGGTGCTGCTTCTATTAGGTTTCCAGCTTTTGCTCAAGCTGCTTCCTTTACCTGGTGAACTCCTATTCATGCCTCAAAACCTGGCGTAAGCTCAACTCTAACAAACCCACCCCCCGCACCCCCACACTTAGGTGGCATAGTCGGCTAAGTGTCCAACTCTTGGTTTCGGCTCAGGTTGTGATCTCAAGGTTGGTGAGTTCGAGCCCCACGTTGGGCTCTGCCCTTCCCCCACTTGTGCTCACTCTCTCTCTTTCGAAATAAATAAATAAACTTTAAAAAAAAAAAGAAGCCTTCTATACACCTCCACCCTAACAGGGGTGAATAACTCCCATTCTAGGCTCCATTACACATGACACATCTCAACAGAGGGCTCCTGAAAGCAGGGCTGGGGTCCTGCCCATCTCGGCACCCCTAACCCCTGGCACTGGGTAGTGGCTCACGAGTGTCACCTGGGAGAACAGGAGGGACTTTTGATGAAATATGAACAGGTAAGGATTGACTTCTCTTCCTGGGACCACCAATCCTCAACCTGGCCAGCCGGAAAAAGTCAGGACAATTAGAGGTGACATTCTGGAAGTTTTGAAGCCAAGGGAATATTTTTGGAGAAAGAGTGATGGCAATATTGGTTAAAAAAAAAAAAAAAAGAAACATATTCAATATTTATATGTTAAATACCTTTTACAGGTATGAAGTCACCTTATGTATACATTTATATGTATATACACAAATACTGTATATTTTCAATTGTATATAATAACATAGTATATTTAAATCTATAGAAGTATAAATTATATGTAATTTATTTTACTCATTAAATAACTGTATTTAGAGATATACAGGTATTGGCTAGAGATTGAAAAACTTTCAGAGGAAAAAGCAAGGTTTGGCTGATTTTCCCCATTTTTATTTTAACTCTCAAAAAGATTCCTTGGGAGTGTTACACTTTCCTTTGCATTTCTTCAGGTTTGGTTCCCAGGGTTTCCTGTTTTTGGTTATTTTGTTTTTAGCCTTGCCCTGAAGACTGGTTAACAGAGACAGCAGCCAGGCTGGGGAGGGTGGCCCCTGGCTTGTCGGCCCCAGAGGCCCTTCCCACCTGACACAGCCCGGGAAGCAGCCCTGTCCCCTTCCACCTGACTCAGCCCAGGAAGTGGCTCTGTCCCAGACAGCACTGTTGTGGTGAGAAACCCTCAGGGGTCCCCCAGGCTACTGACCCCCATTTATAGAGGACACTGATGGCCAGTGACTTGCAGGGTCAGGGCTGGGAACTGCCTTCTGCCTCTTGACTCGCACTTGCTGCTGCTCTGCGTGGGCTCTCTGCCGTCATTCATGTGCCAACCCGCGCACAGAGCTTACTGACTTCAAAACTCCATCTCTCTTCCTGGTCAGTCCTGGGGCCTGTTGGGTTCTGTCTGCCTACACGCTGGACACTCTGTAGGTGCTTAGCAGCTGCTGAAGACTGGGACTGGCTTGCCGACTGGAGATACGGCAGGTCTTTGTCCAGCACATGTGGGCTTCGTCTGGCTGGTCACACAGAACTCAGGGTGGCTACCCGGCGAAACCATCGCGGGGCGCTCGAAGCAGGACGTGCGTCAGCTCCTGCAGCAGCGACGGGTCCCAGTGCTGCCAGCACAACCCCATACTGGTCAGCGGGTGGGTCATGCCCCTTGCTCTGTTCAAGCAGTCCCGAAAGAATAGAAACTTCTTCCACCAAAGCCACCCAGCCATTCTGCTCCTCAGCACCCCCAGCAGGGGTAAATTAGAAGCAGCTTCTGGGGGATCTAGGGTTCAAGGCCATGCTGGCTAGGCTGCCTAGAACACCCCAAACCCTGCTGAGTTTCTCCCTAATAAGGGGACCCCAGCTCTGGGTTCTTCTTTATGGAACCAGAGATACTCACGGCTGGCAGTGCCTCAGAGATTGCCCAACTTTATCCTTAATACAGTCTAACTCTATCTTCCTGCCAAGGGGCCATCAGGCTTGAATGCCTTTAGTGATGGGGAGTCCACTAGCTCCTAAGGCAAGAATAACAATACTAATTGCTCTCAATATGCCAGAAGCCATGCAAAGCATCTAATCCATAAGTGGGATGTGGACCCCCCATAACCTCTCTCCACTCTTGGTTTTGCTTCTATTTCTCAAGACCACAGAGAACAAAGCTGCTCTTTCTGCCCCCAAACGGCTCTTCTGGTTCCTGCATCCATAAGCTTCTTTTTTTCCAGACCAGATTATGTCACTCGCTATCATCATTATTATTATTTAAATGTTCATTTATTTCTTTTGAAAGAGAGGGAACACACATGCATGCGCACACAAGTGGAGGAGGGGCAGAGAGAGAGAGAGAGAGAGAGAGAGAGAGAGAGAGAGAGAGAATCCCACGCAGGCTCTATGCCGTCAGCCCAGACTCCGACTCAGGGATCCATCTCACAAACCATGAGCTCATGACCTGAGCCAAAATCAAGAGTCGGTCGTCCAAACGACTGAGCCACCCATCCAGGTACCCCTTAGGTAACTCATTTGAGAGTGTGCTGGCACCTACCATGAGCAGGCTCCCAGCACCTGGAATACAGGGGAAATAAAACAGACAAGACCACTGCTCTCATGGCGCTGATGTCCTACCTGGGACCAACTTGGTAAATAACTGAAGGAGCTAATTTCAGGTTGTGACCAAGGCCGTGAATAAAATGTAGCGGAGTGAAGGTCAGTGGTGGGGCTGGCCTGGGGCTATGTTAGGTGGGTGGTGTCAGGGGTTGAACCGTGTTCCCCTCTCTCAAAAGATGTTGAAGTCCCAACCTCCAGAGCCTGTGAATGTGGCCTTCTTTGGCAATAGGATCCCTGCAGATGATCACGTTAAAGATGAGGTCATTAGAGTGCACCCTCATCCAATATGACCGTGTCCTTATGAAAGGGAACCCTGGGCACAGACACGACCAGAGGGAAGGCCATGTGAGGACACACACAGGGAGAAAGAACGCCATGCGAACACTGGAGTTGCACAGTTACGCGGCCATCAGCCAAGGAACTTCCAGAAATTTAGAAAGAGGCCTGGAAGAGATCCTTCCCTAGCGCCTTCAGAGGGAGCACGGCCCTGCGGACACCTTGATACTGGACTTCTGGCCTCTAGTACTTTGAGACAATACGTTTCTGCTATTCAAAGTCTGTGATACTTTCTAATGGCAGCCCCAGGAAACTAATACAGCCAGGCACTGTACCAGCCCCTCTGAAGGTGTTCACGTGATGCAGCTTCGAGCCCCACCGTCCCAGGGGCTCCCCACTCTCCCCTCCCTTGATCCGGAGGCAGCGCCTTTGCTGGGAGGCCCCATCACCCGTGAGGTTTGTGGCCATGACAGCACAGGCATCAGCTTCCTACCAATGATCAACTAAGCACCTGCCCCCCCACACCCCAAATCCTGGAACTGCTTTTAAATGATGCTCTGGGGCAAGCGGTTTCTTTAGACCTAGTGATGGCCCATCATGTTTCCGGTGTTAGGCCTGGCCATTATTCCTGTCAGGGAGGCCCTCCCGGCACAGCGGAGCAGTTCTGCACACCCACGATATCTTGCTCTTCCTGCCTCAGTGGCTTTTCCCGCGTGCTCTCCGCCTTCCCTCCCTCACCTCTGCCTCCTCCAATCTCGCCTTCCCTTCGGAGCCAACGGGAAGCGTCTCTGGCCCCGTCCACCAGGCAGTGTGAAGTTTTCACCCTCACTCATAGGAATAGCATAGGAGCCTTCTCTCCCTCTTGCGAACCCCCTAACACCTGATTCTATCTTTCTTCGAGCATTAAAATAACCTGCTTTTGGGGCGACTGGGTGGCTCAGCCGGTTGAGCATCCAACTCCTGATCTCAGCTCAGGTCATGATCTCATGGTTCTTGAGATCAAGCCCTGAGTAGGGCTCTGTGCTGGCAGTGTGGAACCTGCTGGAATTCTCTCTCTCCCTCTCTCTCTCTCAAAATGAATAAATAAACATTTAAAATATTCTGCTTTGCATTTCCATGTCTTCCATGAGACTGGGAGCTTCCCAAGGGTAAGCACAGCATCTCCCGTCACATCTCCAGTCACATCTCCAGTCACATGTCAAGTCCCCTACAGAACTGGCCAACACAGGGCTTTCCTCACCCTGGATGCCTGGACAGTATCTGCAGCAAAATGCTCCCAGATGGAATCCCAATACCTGCAGGATTCTCTCCTCTAAAACCTTCTCGTTTCCTAGTGGAATGTTTGTTTATCGAACCCCAATGCCTTCTTCCTGACAGCCTGCTTTTCCTTTGCTCTGGAGAGAACTCAGTGCGCTCCCCTGTGAGAGGCTCTCGCAGACCTCAGGACCTCCCCTGGGTGGGCGGCCCACCCCCTGCACGTGCACACATGCACACACACGACACAACCCCTCCACCCCAGGACTCGGGAGCTCGGAAGACGCTCCCAGATGCCCTAAGACCTGCCATGGCGAACCACAGCCCCAGCCCCGACCCAGCCTCACGATTCTGGAGAGCGGGGGGATTCGGGAAGCCCAGGAGCCGAAGGCAGCGATGGCACCCAGCAGGTAGCCGAAGATTTCAGTGTTGTCCTGAGGGAACAGGTGATACACTCAGCACCCTGAGGAGACAGCCCATCCTTTCCCGCTTTTAGTATTTTCTGGCTAGGGCTGCCCCTGCCCCTGCCCAGGGCATTTGTTGGGGCCGTGAAGAGGGAAGGGAATGCATATCCCCAAGCCCTCCTGGGCAGGCTCGGCCTCACCTGCAGCAGGCTCTCCAGTAGCCTCCGCTGGGGCCCTCGGACAGGGCCTGACGCCTTCCGGACGGTGGCCCAGAGAGCCCAGCCTGGCCCCAGGCTCAGCGGCAGGGCCAGAGCAAAGACACTGGCCCTGAGCCGCTGCCTCCTCTTCCTCTCCCGGGAGCCCCGACCTGCAACAAACACCAAAATCCCACAGGCCCCTGGGGTCTAGAACTCAACGGAGAGCTGCATCTCCCCGGTGTGCGCCCATCTCCGATGCCAGAGCGGGTTCCCACGTTGCTCGACAGGCCAGATCCTCTCCACCCTTCAAGGCCCCGTAGCTCTGGCACCCCATTGGAGGAATCTTTCCTCCCCACCACCTCATCCCACCCACTCGCACGACTGGCGCTCTTCTCCTTCCTCGGCCCTCAAAGCATTTTCTTTTCACACGTGTCTTGCACACAGAGTTGCCTCTGCGAGACTGGAACCCCCCGAGGGCCGGCAGTTTCTGTAATCTCCACAGAGCCTGGCACAGAGCTGAACCGGCACAGCTTTGGAGAATGCATCACGGTGTTTGTGCCAGGGCCTGAAGCTGTGAGCCAAAAAGGAGCACGGTCTTGGAAGTCTCCTTAAAATATGAGACAGACAGTCCTCCGAGAACTGTAGTAGGAACACGTCTCCTCTGGGCAGCGCTGAGCAGCTTGGGGATCTTACGTTACCCCACTGATGCAAGCACTCCCCTTTTGCACCACGGCGGGGGCACACGGCTGCCCCTTCTCAGAACGCCCAGTCTGGCATACTCAGGGCGACCCATCCTACCTCAGTAACTTCCAGCCCCCACTCTGCCTGAGGTAGCCTGCGCCCATTCCTGGCATCCATTTCTGGAAGTTACGGGGCTGTGTTTGGCCAACCCGGGTTCACAAACTGAGATATCACTGTTCATCCCCCCAGTCATGCACACCCATCCTCCTGGCCTTCGCTCATGCTGTTCTTTTCACCTGGAATACCCTTCCCTGTGGCCCCTGGTCTAACGTCACATCCTTCCCTCTGGCTGCCCACGATGTGCACGCACCTCCTCGCAAGCAGCGTTAATGACCGTTTAGGGCCCCGTCTCTCGGCCCTGGGTGGGGTCTCCGAGCTCATTCATGTGTCCGTGCCTGGCAGGGGCCCAGCTGAAGCCTGACAGGGAGTAGGCGCTTGGCGCCCTGATGAATGAAGACAGGAACAGATGGCCACACACTCACCCAAATTAGACTTCAACTTGGAGCCGCAGACCGGGAAGAGGATGAACACAAAGTTCACCAAGTCAACAGCTGCTAGGTAGGCACCCGTGAAAACCTGGGGGCAAAGGAAATAGAGTCATGGCGTCCAAACATTCTCCAGCAATCACAGCACCTGTCATCCTGGATCTCCTCTGCCCCTGATGAGGTACTTCCTCCGAAGCCGCCTGCCAACCCCAGGAAAGGCTGGTCATCACCTCTATTTGCCTGACAAGGAGAACGGGGTGCTGAAACGAGCAATCCCTTACGTGGAGGCCCATCCGCAGAACCCGCCCTCCATTTCCCATGCCGTGCTCTTTCCGGTACACGGTTACTCTTTGCTGTGTGACTCTGGCCCAACCGCTGGACTTCTCTGGGCCTCTGTTTCATCGTCTCTAAAACAGGGGGAGTCATGGTGCCTCTCTCAGTGCTAAGCAGATTACATGAAGCACTACAGGGAAAGTGCTTAGACCAGCACCGGCAAGCCGGAAAGCACAAGGCTCCCACCCACAAACGCACCAGCTACTATGCCAGTGTAACAGTGGTGAAGAGCAAACTCTGGAGTCTGGATCTTGCCACTGTTGCTTACTGGATCCTTCCCAAAGTTGTTCAGCCGCTAAGTCTGAGTGTCCACATGTGTAAAACAGGGATAAGGAGAGAGCCTACGTCCTAAGATAATTCGAGGATTAAATGAGTGATTGCGTGACAAGCCCTCATTGCCAAGCACGTAGTGAAGGATTTTTTTTTCTCTTTACATTTATTTATTTTTGAGAGAGACAGAGACAGAGCACAAGTTAGGGAGGAGACACAGAATCCGAAGCAGGCTCCAGGTTCCGAGCTGTCAGCACAGAGCCCGACGTGGGGCTCGAACTCACGAACTGTGAGATCATGACCTGAGCCGAAGTCAGACGCTCAACCCACTGAGCCACCCAGGCGCCCCCGCAGCGAAGGATTTAATAAACATCAGCTACTATTCTTGGACTCGGGCTGAGCATCATTGGGTTCCAGCAGCCAATGAGAATGGGCACCCAGAATGAAAGGTGGTTTGTTTGTGAGACAATACTGTTTGAAGCAGGGTCTAGAACTCCCAGGTGTGTATCCCGGCCATGAGGCCGCCTTCCTCCATGTCTACCTGGGTGGGTGCCAGCCCCATGAGGTGCCTCTCCAGGGCACATTCCTTTGGGATATGTGTTTTGGGACAGGCCCCATCTATACAGGTTTGAGGGCCTAGACTTCAGAAGAGCTTGAAACTGTTTCTCACTTGCCCCAAGGCCTGCATTACCACTTGGGAAAGCACTCAGCCACCCCTGTTTGAACTGAGGCTGGGCTCCAGGCTCTAAAAACAATGACCACAACAATCGCTACTTATGGAGCATCTACGATGTGCCAGCTGCTGTTTTAAGGGATGGGGATATGGTAGTGAATACAAAGTTTTGCCCCCGGAGAACTGGCACACTAGTAGTTCAATGAGCAACAGACACACTCAGTAAAATAGATGGTGTATTGGGGCGGGGGGGGTCCGCTTTGGGAAAAAACGGAGCAGGACGAAGGAGTCCGGAGCACCTGCGGTAGAGGGAGGGCACAAGTCTACCCGAGTGCTCTGGTTAGGCCTCATCGAGAAGGTGACTTTTGAGCAAAGACTTGAAGGAGGTGAGCAGTGAGCCCTGTGGCTATCAGGGCAGGGGCACTGGGCAGGGGCAGACAGACCAACAGGGGCGCGGGCATGAGGTGAGACCGTACCTCAATGGCGAGGGAACTAGACAGAAGCTACTGTCACCCTGTGGGCCCTACGCACCTGGATCGTGAGCTGTCTGGCCAGAATCGCTCCGATGGTGTCACACAGGCTGGTCAGGAGGCAGCATGCCGCGCACAGCGCTGACTGGTCCCGTCCGGATTTCTTTGTACACCTCAGATAGAGAAGCCTGTGGTGACAGACGGGGGTGTGGATGGGTTTGGACGGAACGCAGGAGCCATGAGTGGGTTCCCAATGCAGGTGTCTGCAGAGGGCAACTGTGATTTTGTGTCCTCGTGAGGCACTCTCTCCCCCAGATATTCAGCAGGTATTTCTGAACTTAGTTTACAGATGGGAAAATAAAGGATCAAAGACTCCAGAACCAGCCCATGGCAGGAGCCAGACCTGCCTCTCTAACGAAGAGGCATTTCTTTCCTCCTACAAATCTGGCCAACTCAAGTTCATGACCCACCACTCAATGCTAACAAACTAGCTATGGGGTTTTATTTTTTGAAAGGAAGCTTGTGGGTTATAAAAGTAACCCAATCACTGTGGTTAACTGCAGAGTACAGTTAATTGCCTAAATTAAAAAGGCAACTTGTTTCTTTTCAATTCAAGTGAAATCCTGCTAAGGAGTTCATGTGTGCAGTGGGGCGGCTGTGCTTTTGCTGGCCCTTGTCAAGTTGAGCATGTTCTTTTTTTTTTTTTTTTAATTTTTTTAACGTTTATTAATTTCTGAGACAGAGAGAGACAAAGCATGAACGGGGGAGGGTCAGAGAGAGGGAGACACAGAATCAGAAACAGGCTCCAGGCTCTGAGCTGTCAGCACAGAGCCCAACGCGGGGCTTGAACTCACGGACCGCGAGATCATGACCTGAGCCGAAGTCGGCCGCTTAACCGACTGAGCCACCCAGGCGCCCCGAGCATGTTCTTAACATACACGGAGAGCAAAACTCCTCGAAGATGCCATGGCACTTTGGGCTGACCTCTCCCTAGAGTCGCCCACTGCTGGTTTCTCTCCCTTATTCCCCTCTTCCTGCCCCACCCCACTCCCCTAGAACAAGCACAGAAAGGCACAACAGAATGGAAGGAGTCAGAGGTCTCTCAGAAACACCTGATCCGATCTCAGAAACACTTTGTTCTAGATGTTTCCATGTTACATATCTGGGCCGGGATAACTGCACTTCTTGTTTTATTTCCATCAACCACAGGGTGGTACTCACTCCTCACGGTTAGACTGTTTGCCTGGTTCTGAGGGTCGGCCCTTGGGAGCAGGGGATGGGGATGGAAGGCTGCTGGGTTCCAGAACATTTCCTGATCTGCCAGACGAAGCCCAGAGCTCACAGTGAGAACAGCAACCTTTCATCTAGGCCCTGGGCTCCTGGCACCAATTCAAAGCCTAAGCGTGAAGGCTCTAGAGACTCTCTGAGTTGGATTCAGATTAGAAATAGTTTATTTCAGGGCGCCTGGGTGGCTCCGTCGGTTGAGCGTCCGACTTCGGCTCAGGTCATGCTCTCACGGCTCATGAGTTCGAGCCCCGCGCCGGGCTCTGTGCTGACAGCTCAGAGCCTGGAGCCTGCTTCAGATTCTGTGACTCCCTTTCTCTCTGCCCCTTCCCCTGCTCATGCTCTGTCTCTGTCTCTCAAAAAAACAAAGGTTTAAAAAAAAAAAAAAAAAAGAAAAAGAAAAGAAATAGTTTATTTCAACCCTCCCATTAGAGAGTGGAGAAAAGTGAGGCCGATGGTGACCAGCTGAGTTAATGGCCGACCCTCTGGCTTCACATGTGGAGGCTTTCTCTGTACCCTGCTGTTCTTTAGCCATTTCTCCAGCCCTCGGGTCAGGGATCCGGGCTGACCCTACCCCAGGCCACACACAGCTCAGAGGATACACATTCCCCAAGGACAAGAGGAGGCTCAGGGATGGCAAAGTCCTGACAACAGATGGGTGTGTCCAGACTGAGGCAGGCTGAAAAAGCAGATTCGGCTCTCATCAGACTGACTGGCTGGGCATTCTCAACGGAGTTACCTAACCTCTCCCACCTTCAGTTTCCAGCTCAGGAAATGTCTAATACTGCTGACTTCAGGGCGGCTGTGAGGACCAAATGAGATAACGCACAGAGAGTGGCTCGTTGGTGTCCACCTCTGATCTGGACAGTTTAATCCTCACAAGTCTGCCCCTTTCGAAAAGGGTCTGGTGGTCCGGTTCTTTCCATTCGCTAGGGCAAGTTAGTAAAGCTGTCAGAACCTCCAGCTTCCTCGGGGGGTAAATGGGAGTAATAACGGTCCCTCCCTCGTGGGGTTGTGGCAGGGAAGACATGAGCTAATAAATGCAACACTAGGCCCACGTTAAATGTTCCAAGTGTCTTTTCATTTGCGTTCCAATGACTGGGTAGGGGGGTTGCCAGATCTCTGCAACAATATCAAATATCATCTTAAGAGTGCCTAAGATGAGCAGGTGCCAACCTCCCCCGGGGTGCTGCTCCTTTCTCCTCTGCCAGGGAATACTTGGGTTGCACCAGCTTGGGACAGGGTGCACGAAGACCTGGAGGCCATCTTTAGCCAGACTTCATAGAACCCAGGTTATGGTGACCACCTGACCAGATGGCTCCAGGTACTGGCCAGAGTCAGATCACAGCCAGTCCCCCTCCCCAGATCAGAGGGCCTGGGGTAAAGGGAGACCAGAAACGCCAAGAGCCTTGTCCAAGGTCCTTGCCCTCTGCCAAAGGTTGGTGGCAGGACAGGAGCAATAATAAGGATGTTTAATGAGCACATACTAAGAGCTTTACGGAAACTAACTCATTTAATCCTGCCATCCGTCCCATCAGTTATTAACCCCGTTTAGGTGAGGAAAATGAGGCTCTGAGGCTTTACAGCTTGCCCAGCTCACACCTCCGGTCGATGGGGAAAGGGTGACAATAGAACCCAGGACTCGCGGCTGCCTTCGAGGGCTCCACGCACCTCACGACCCGGCCTCTTCCTACTGGCCCACAGCCCAGCCTCCCCCTCCCTGTGCACGGAATCCGGAAAGAAGTCCTATACGACTTCAGTCCACAGCGGAAGGGTCGTTTCGATCCTGGCACCGCGCTGCCTCCTGCCTCCTGCCTCCCCCCTTTATGCCCCCTTCCCTCCAGGTTTCCAGGAGGGAGTTGGCGGGAGGCGTCGCCCCGCACCCCCCGCCGCAGACCCGGCCCCCTCCCC